TTAACCTGCGAATTTTGCATTAATAATAAAATACTATGATATCTAAAAACAGCTAAAATGTTCATAAATAGTTGTATTAGTATACAAGGCAATATATGTAAATAAGGAATATTTTTATATTTCGCATGAACTTCATGCCAGACACTTATTAATATTGTTTCTCCTACAAAATAGGTTTCAATGTCTGATTCTAAACTACATTTTAAAGATTAAACGATTATATGTTATCTGTATTATACGAAAAAAAAAAAAAACAGAAAAAATAAAATTGAAATTTATATTTTTAACTAAGCTAAACAGCTTGTTAACATGTTATATACTAATAAATATAAAATAATTTTTTCTAAGGAAAAATTTATTTATGATGAAGCTTTGATGAAAATGAGTCATTATTCTTTAGCTAGTAAATATAGATATGCAATAGAGTGTCTCGAGAAACAGCCTTTTTAAGGATCACGTTTGAGAGGTATTCCTTCAAAAACGTGGTCCACTGCACACCCTAATGTATATTATTAGTCTAACTGTTTTGTATAAATTTATTAAAATTTATTAAATTGTACAGTAATTTTTATTCTGGAATACACTATTTCATTGTAAATTAATTACAAAATGTATACAAGTTATGAATGTATTAGTATACATATACATATAAATTTATTCAGAATTATATTAAGAAATAATTTTGGATGTTGTTTTTTAATTGTCTGCAAATTAAAAATTATAAATATATTTATATATATATATATAAATTTAGTTCTAAGAATATGACAATTAAAAACACTTGTGGTATTAGATATTCTTGGAAGTGCCATTGATGAGTTATTGTTAACTCACTAGAAGTGAAGTTAATATAATAATGTTTTTCTATTTGTCACTAAATGTATATATGTATGTATGTATACAATTAAAAGAAAAATACTGTTTGTATTTGGAATTGTACTTTAAAAAGTTTATTTATTTATACAGAAAAAAAAATAAATAAAAAAACAATAAGAAAATATTTAACTGAAAATTTTGACCTTTATAAAACTAATTTTCTTTTTTATAAGTATTTCTCATTGCAAAATATTTCTTTGTGCAATTTAGAAATATAATCTTTTAAGTCGAATTTATCTTTAATTTTAATATTTGTACAAAAAAAAAAACTTGCTAAGAACTAAGAAAAGAATAAGTTTTATGACCTTTCATTCATATCCCACTCAAAAATCAAAAAAAAAAAAAAAATCATAGATGAATATTTGCAAAAATAACACGAACAAATAGGTATCAACAGTTTTACGCTATTGGTTTTTGTGTCCTACCACAACCTGTAGCATGTTGTATGTTTATTTCAAGTGCTGCATAAGAGACCTTTAATGAATTAAATGTAGCATGCACCCACCCACAAACTACATATGCTCTTACTTTGTATACATTTTATAAATTGTTTGACAAATCCTTGTTTTTTAAGCCAACAATTTCCTTTTATTTAAGGAGAATGCTTACAATATATTTCGCAGTTTGTACTATACAAATTTGTTTGACTTTACAGAATTTATCATTAATTTCCCAGTATTTTCAACCCCTACTGGTTTGTTTACAGACAAAAAAACTTCGTTAAGTTACCCCTTAAAAGAAAACTACAGGATATTTTCTCTTAATAGAATATTTAAAACATCCCTTTTTCAAATTCAACAGGTTTACCCGTTAATATTTATTCTCTTTTAAATTCGTATCACTTAAAAAGATTATTTGTTTTAGGAAAAAAAAACATTATTCACATATTAGCAATTGAATAGAAGAGACATACATACATACGTTGGTATCTTAAATGTCTGTATTTTTATACATTATTATACACTTAATGTTGTCGCATTTACTAACTTCTCCCTATTGTCCTGTGGGTGTGATTTGGGTCTTCAGCAATCTTTTTTAACTTGTATAATATTGATTATAATGCATTGACCTGTTATTCATTTACGGGGTTAAACTGAAAGAGAAATTTAACCTTATGAATCTATAAATTCACTAACTAACTAACTAACAAACAAACAAACAAACAAACAACTAACTAACTAACTAACTAACTAACTACTAACTACTAACTAACTAACTAACTAACTACTAACTAACTAACTACTAACTAACTAACTAACTAACTAACTAACTAACTAACTAACTAACTAACTAACTAACTAACTAACTACTAACTAACTAACTAACTAACTAACTAACTAACTAACTAACTAACTAACTAACTAACTAACTAACTAACTAACTAACTAACTAACTAACTAACTAACTAACTAACTAACTAACTAACTAACTAACTAACTAACTAACTAACTAACTAACTAACTAACTAACTAACTAACTAACTACTAACTAACTAACTAACTACTAACTAACTAACTAACTAACTAACTAACTAACTAACTAACTAACTAACTAACTAACTAACTAACTAACTAACTAACTAACTAACTAACTAACTAACTAACTAACTAACTAACTAACTAACTAACTAACTAACTAACTAACTAACTAACTAACTAACTAACTAACTAACTAACTAACTAACTAACTAACTAACTAACTAACTAACTAACTAACTAACTAACTAACTAACTAACTAACTAACTAACTAACTAACTAACTAACTAACTAACTAACTAACTAACTAACTAACTAACTAACTAACTAACTAACTAACTAACTAACTAACTACTAACTAACTAACTAACTAACTAACTAACTAACTAACTAACTAACTAACTAACTAACTAACTAACTAACTAACTATCTAACTAACTATCTAACGATCTAACTAAACTCTAACTAAACGAACTAACTAACTAACACTAACTAACGAACTAAAATAAAACTAACTAACTAACTAACTAAAACTAAACTAACTAACTAACTAACTAAACTAACTAACTAACTAACTAACTAACTAACTACTAACTAACTAACTAACTAACTAACTAACTAACTAACTACGAAATCACTAACTAACTAACTAACTAACTAAACTAACTAACTAACTAACACTAACTAACTAACTAACTAAACTAACTACAACAACTAACTAAATAACTAAGCTAAACTAACTAACTACCTAACGAACTAACTACTACTACTACTAACTACTAACTAACAACTACTAACTAACTAACTAACTAACTAACTAACTAACTAACTAACTAACTAACTAACGTAAACTACTAACTAACTAACTAACTAACTAACTAACTAACTAACTAACTAACTAACTAACTAACTAACTAACTAACTAACTACTAACTAACTAACTACTAACTACTACCTACCTACCTAACTAACTAACTAACTAACTAACTTTATAAAATTCACTTTTCAATGTACCCTCGTCAAATAAGTTTTGTGAATAAAATACACTACTACTAAGTAAGTATATAATAATATTATATATCCGACATTGTTGAAAGTCATTTCATTCTTTTGTTTGTTATTAAAAGATTATACAAATATCTTTATTCATAAAATGTATGTATGCATGTGTCAATGGCTTTATGTACTTGCATTATAGATAAACACGCGTATATTATGTAGACAAACATGTGAACAGTTCAACATGAATAAGTAGAGTGGATGTTAAAAAGGTTACTAAAGGTCATACAAATATTTCAGTAGATGCTGTTTAAATAAATTGACTGATTATATGCAACTGAAATTTTTTTTAATAATATTTTGGTCTAATAACAATATCAATTGAATTATTTAACAATATTATATTTAGTACATTTAATATGAAGCTGATAATATTTATAACTAGTTCTGTTTTTGTATCCACATATTTGTATTTTTGTGTCTACAACACTTGTACCGTGGTCCACTGTTTTGTAAATGTACAAAATATGAGAAAAATAAAAAATATTTTTTTGGAAACACCCTCAGTTCCCTACCAACGATTGAAAATTTTGATTTCAATGCAATATGTTCCAAAAAAAAATCTGAAATCTTTTTGAGTATGCCTCTCAAACCCTATATGAGATTCTTAAAAGGCTGTTTCTTGGGTCACTCTATTGTACATAAGGTTGGAACCAAAATGGAAGATGTTGATGTTGCGTTGTAGAAAATGAAAATTTAGTTCATTTTAAGATACCAATTTAGAAAATTTAATCGTTGAGAGCTGGATCAAGGACAAAAAGGTCGTCTTTGGGGTTTTTATGTTTATAATTCATGCAAGGAAATTTTGCTTTCAGATGAAACATCTTTAAAAGAGGCTTTTGAGATTACGGACCTACAGTTGAGATAACGGGCCTAAATGTTATACAATTTCATCGAAATAGTTTTTTCTGTTTCTCAAAATTTCCTCTAGTTTGTACTTTATTTTAAATTTTGTAAACCCATTTTCTCCTTGATCATGACGTACATTATAGGTATATCAATAAAAGTGTTATTTCATTTCATTGTTTCATTGATATGTAACACTTTATGATTTCATTGGATTATATATCAAATATTTCAGTTTAATTGAAATACTTACATACATAATTTCAAGAAAAAAATTTTTAGTTGTTGTGATCTTTCTTTGTAAATAGTTTGAATGTTGTTGTGTACACCTCTAATGTATATACTTTCATTGTACATGATGAATACATACCAGCGATTTTAAATTCAATAATAATTTAGTTGAAATGCTATTCTTTCTATAATTTTTATACATCTTTTATGCAAATTTTCTCAGTGTAAAAAGCTTTTCTGACACCTACACACATCCAATAATGTATTAACAATTTTATTGTAGACAACCACCACTAAAAAAGCACTAAAACTTAAAAACGCCGGCGCATAACAAAATAAAAACTTTTTTAACTCAACCATAAAAACGCACACAAAAAGCTTTCAATGGAAAAAGATGCATTAGCACGTGCTTAATTAATATTAAAAACAATACTTGATTTTTATACCCTATTAAACAAATATTTAAGAAAAAAAAACATTATCTGTCTTCGACTTGCGGGAAAGAACAAAATATGTACATTAAAAGTATGTCATTAGTACAATTACTTATTTCATTCATTTCAAAACAAAGTGTTCAAGCGTTAACAACAAAACAACAAGATAATTCGGTGATTTTTTATTTAAAAATATATACAAAAATAATCTTGATTTAACATGAAATTCTCACTACGAATATTAATCATCTCGTTTTGCTGGCATTATACTGTTGAATCCAGATTTTTATTTCCAACAGTTGATGATTTTCCAACGGATTGCAAACTACCTGATGGCTCAAATGGAACTTGTCGCAATTTACAATACTGTCCAGCTGCCATAACTTCAAAGAAAGTAAATTTATGTTATTTTGATGGTGATGATGAGTATGTGTGTTGTAAGGAGAATGTTTGGGATGACGTACAAATGAGACCTTTTACTATGAATTGTGGAGCTCGTGCACCTCGTGTGGAAATAATACAAGGTATACAGACGGAATACAAAGAATTTTCTTATATGGTAGGTATACCTATGTATTCGTCTGGATAATGATTTCATTAACTCTATAAATTAGGTGGCTTTGGGTTGGAAATCTATGGCTTATCCTAGCGCATATGACTACAAATGTGGTGGAGTTTTAATATCCAATATATATGTTTTAACAGCCGCTCATTGCGCTTTTTTAAATGGGTAATTACACTGAGTACTTAAGTATTAAACTAAGTCTAGTAACTTATGTAAATTATTTAGACTTCCACCTGCAGTGGCTTTAGTTGGTGGTACTAACCTCACTGATCCAAACAATCGACCCATACCAGTTTCAAATGTAACAGTACATCGTGGGTACAAAGCAAATCAGTCATATCATGATATTGCTCTAATAAGACTAAGTGTGGATTCTGATGAGACACCGATTTGCATTTGGGGTTCTTACTCTTTGGATGAAGTAAATGTTACGGCAATTGGTTATGGACATACACAATTTGGTAAGAATATAGTATCTAGTCTTATGTCTAGTCTATGTCTAGTCTATGTCTAGTCTATGTCTAGTCTATGTCTAGTCTATGTCTAGTCTATGTCTAGTCTATGTCTAGTCTATGTCTAGTCTATGTCTAGTCTATGTCTAGTCTATAGTCTATGTCTAGTCTATGTCTAGTCTATGTCTAGTCTATGTCTAGTCTATGTCTAGTCTATGTCTAGTCTATGTCTAGTCTATGTCTAGTCTATGTCTAGTCTATGTCTAGTCTATGTCTAGTCTATGTCTAGTCTATGTCTAGTCTATGTCTAGTCTATGTCTAGTCTATGTCTAGTCTATGTCTAGTCTATGTCTAGTCTATGTCTAGTCTATGTCTAGTCTATGTCTAGTCTATGTCTAGTCTATGTCTAGTCTATGTCTAGTCTATGTCTAGTCTATGTCTAGTCTATGTCTAGTCTATGTCTAGTCTATGTCTAGTCTATGTCTAGTCTATGTCTAGTCTATGTCTAGTCTATGTCTAGTCTATGTCTAGTCTATGTCTAGTCTATGTCTAGTCTATGTCTAGTCTATGTCTAGTCTATGTCTAGTCTATGTCTAGTCTATGTCTAGTCTATGTCTAGTCTATGTCTAGTCTATGTCTAGTCTATGTCTAGTCTATGTCTAGTCTAGTCATGTCTAGTCTATGTCTAGTCTATGTCTAGTCTATGTCTAGTCTATGTCTAGTCTATGTCTAGTCTATGTCTAGTCTATGTCTAGTCTATGTCTAGTCTATGTCTAGTCTATGTCTAGTCTATGTCTAGTCTAGTCTATGTCTAGTCTATGTCTAGTCTATGTCTAGTCTATGTCTAGTCTATGTCTAGTCTATGTCTAGTCTATGTCTAGTCTATGTCTAGTCTATGTCTAGTCTATGTCTAGTCTATGTCTAGTCTATGTCTAGTCTATGTCTAGTCTATGTCTAGTCTATGTCTAGTCTATGTCTAGTCTATGTCTAGTCTATGTCTAGTCTATGTCTAGTCTATGTCTAGTCTATGTCTAGTCTATGTCTAGTCTATGTCTAGTCTATGTCTAGTCTATGTCTAGTCTATGTCTAGTACATACCTTCTTTTAATTTATATTTTGCTTATAAATACAATTATTTATTTTTTAGCTGGAGCGGGCTCGGAAAGTTTACTTAAAGCTTATTTAATGATCCTATCAAACAATGAATGCTCTAAACATTATACTGGAATAACGTCTTTACCGCATGGAGTTGTGGAAACTCAAATTTGTGCTAAAGATCCTGATAGTATAAGGGATACTTGTCAGGTATAATTCTGTTGACTAACTTAATTATTTAAAAAATATATAATATTTTCCGTTTTATTTAGGGTGATTCTGGCGGTCCCCTTATTCTGTTCTCCACTGACAAATACGGCGTTTCTAGAAATTTCGTGGTTGGTATAACTTCGTTTGGTAGAGCCTGTGCTTTAGAACCGCCTGGAGTATATACTAGGGTGTCCGAGTATGTTGACTGGATAGAAGACATAGTGTTTAAATAAAAACATTTTGATTTCTGTTTAAATTAAAATTGTATGTAGTTGATAAATATTGTTTGTACTTTAATATTAAAAACATATATAAGAACATAATTAAGTTATTTAAAGGAATCTTTCCAAACAATGTGCTCAATCCAATCCAAATATGAATACACTCTTGTAAATATACTAGGATAACCACTGCGACAGTATAAACCATATGACGTTATGCCAATTAGTTGGTAGTGTAAACGATTAGTACGTCTTCTTCCTCTAATATTCAATTGCAGAGGACCACCCGAATCTCCTTGGCAGGTGTCGCGATTCAATTCGAAGTCTCGAGCGCATATTTGGCTAGCTATAATGCCTCTATTAGTTTCTGGCATCTTTGGCATTTCCCGATTGCAGTCAGCATTTGATATAATTGTCATATTTAAATCTGTAAGACGATTTGTGCGCTGTCGGGCAAAATCAGTGGCACCGTAACCCATGGCATGTGCTGTAGTAAATGGAATTGTTGGCTGTGTCCATAACCGGATGGGGCGAACAAATTCCGTTAGTCTGTTCACAAATAATTTTATATAGTTAATTAAAATGCTTTCTTTTTGAATATACATGCATTTTACTTACTCGACTTCTTCAGTTAATTCCAAAAGAGCAATATCGTTATAATAAGAGTCTGTCCTATAATCCGGATGAACAAAGATATTTCTAATATTACGTATTTGTGGTTCCAAAAAACTTTCTTCGATCATTAAATTTAAATCTCCTATGCGTACTTTGGTTGGCTGTTGTCTGAAAGGTATATTGATTGTTAGTTTTTTTAAGGATAAGTAATGGTTTTTCATACCCCGTAAAATTGACACAATGAGCTGCTGTAATAACAAAAGTTTCACTTATCAAACTGCCACCACATTTGTAATCAACTTTACCATTTTTTGAACGGAAACCTAGGGCTGTCTGAAAAAATAAAATGAAATTTTTAAAAAAAATTTTAAAAGTGTATTTAAGGTAGTGAAAATCATAAATTAACTTTTTTGTGTAAAATTTCTAGTCTAATATTAATTTACTGAAAAGTTTTGTAATAATATTAATTAAGTTGAGAGTGAGTGTCGAGACATATAGCAATTTTTAAGGTATTATTGGGAATTTTAAAGGCAATTATTACAGTTTTATTATATTAAAATGTTTCATGATTTGAGTTTTATGATATGACCTTGTAGTTTTAACTCTAAAGGAATTTTTTTAAAAGGCCAACTGAAATTAGTGTCAATAAACTTGTGATAAATTTCATTTCAGTTTTACCAGTAGGTACCTGTTTGGACTAGTTTTTGTTTTTAAATTCAAACCACAAATATTCTCACTATTGTACTTTCAGATTATAAAATTTAAATTGCGATTTAAATGCTGCAGACATATGACGTCATTAGAAATATGTATATATAATTCGTGGACATTAGGGCTATAACTTTTTTTCATATATACAAATAGCTCTAGTACATCCGAAAACAAAAACGTTAAAATGACAAAGAAAAATGTATTTTATACTTTTTTTAAGTTGTTTATAAAGTTCAAAAATTGATTTTTCCTTTTTTTATAAATTTTTCGTAAAAATCGCAAATATTTATCGGTTTGTATAATAACTGATATTAAATTTAACCAAAATTTAAAAGATTTCCTCAATTTCAATCGAAAAAATTAATTTTTGAACATTGATTTTGTGCATGAGATATTGATTTGAAATGAACGGATATATTGGCCATCGTATAAAGATGGAGCCAAAATTTGGTTATACCCCTAGTGTACATTAGGAAAGTTCTAAACACGAGAAAAATATTTTTTATAACGGAACTCAGTTCACTACCAGCTATTGCAAATCCTATAAATAAACAAGTAAGAAATCTATATTCGCTTTTGCCGAATCTATAATATACCAAAAAAAGGGAGTTAAAAAAATTTATAAAAATATTTAAAAAAAAATTTAAAAAAAAATTTTTTTTGGAAACTATAAAGAAATAACTATCTGTACTCATTTGGACTATTTTTGCTAGAACCAATAGGTGAAAAGTTACACTCATTTCAATAAAACCCTATATGACCAAAAAGCCCAACTTTGACCCCCTCTAAGTCCGGCAGTTCTTGACCGCTAGAGCTGAAAATTTGTGCCCTACTATCCAATAGTACTAACCTTGGTGCAAATTTCATCCAAATCGGAAGACATCGATTTTAAAATTTGGGTGACTTGACATGAAACCGGCCCTATACATCTCTAAAGGAATGAGCTGCGCTGAATCTGGCCTCCATCACATTAGGTTTCGTTTGAAGTTTAAAAATACCATTTTTGACAATATTTAAGGCGTTATAAAAGCGCTCATCGACTTTTAAATAAATGCTTTATCTTCTACTATTTTCGAGATGTCGAAATTTAAAACCTGATGTGATAGGGAAATCAGAAAAGTATACTTTGGTATCTGGGTTAAAATTTGTTGACTTGTGTTATTCAATTCCTACCCCGTATTCAATATCTCGGAAGGAATTTTTTTAAATATTGTAAAAGAAATTACTTAAAAAGTACCAGGATTACTGATAATACTCTAGTTATTTTTAGTTAAAACAAACAATTTTTAATTGTGCAATGGAAAAATTATTTAATTAATTCTTATTAAAAGTTAAAGCTTATTTTATATATTGCTCAATAATTAAATGAATAAGTCCATGATAATTCTATAGAAAATGAAACCAATAATAAATAATATTCTACTTTCGTTTTTTGGAGATTAAAATTTTAAATTATTTACAGCCTGTTACAGACACATTATCACTTTTACTTTTAAATTCAATATTTAAAAAGTCTTTGCGTCATTAATTTAAATAATGGATGTTCAAAAGAAAACATATTATTAAATGCCTTAAGTAATCTGTGTTTTTATAAACAATTGTTATCAGTTTTATAAAAACAATTTATAATAAAATAATTCGTAGAATTCAACAAGTTCAAGGGAATTTTTGTTTAGTTTAACAAAGAAATAGTAAACCACATAAAACTAGAAATTGTAATCGTACTGAAAATGAATTGAGAAAACTTACCATATGTGGGTATTCCCCAGGTGAGGCTAAAACACGACCATTGAATTCAGCATCGTTAGCATCTTTTGCTGTGTCATCTTCTTGCGGAAATATGCGTTGGATGTACTCAGCATATTCTGTTATTATGGTTTATTTTTTTTTACAAAATAAAATAATAATTATTTTTTTTTATAAATCATTCCTTAATTATAAGACTTACTTATTTCACAAACTCTTAAATTTAATAAAGAAGAAGCCACTGACACTATTGTTTCTAAAGCATTTTTTTCGATTTCTTCACTAGAAGTTCTTGTGGGATTTCTTCGATTCGAAGAACTCGATGTTATAGCTCTCTTTTCACCAGATTCTTCACTAGAATTTCTTATTCTATCTATAACTCTTTTTACCAGAGATGGAGAACTATTGTCATTTAGAGAATTTGTAATACTATTTGTGCTGGAAGCTTTTCTTGCTGGTATTACTTCTCTAATATTTATTACTATACTCGTATCACGTATTACTGGCCGATCTTCATTGTTAAGACGATTTGTATGAGGTTCATTTCTAAAGCTATTAGATATACCATTATTTATTCTTTTCAAATTCACTTCATCTTCATTCGTTTTACCGGGAAAATAGACCTTTTCATTTACAGGTTTAACTTCTCGTATATTGACGGTTTTATTGATTTCATAAAAATTGCGTTGAGATTTCACCACATTTAAAACTGGTATGGTAAGCAGCAGACACAAATAAAATATATTCATTTTATATTAAATAATTTAATTTATTATTATTTTAAATATTCACTTTCTATAGCAAGTCAACGAAAAAAAAAAAAAATGGTTTCATACGTTTTACTGCTTTCAAATCAAAATCACAACTGTTTTGTTTTGCTAAATGATTCTTGAATCAAACCATGGTTGATATTTAAATTGTTTCTTTACCAATTGTTTGTTTGTTTTTTTGGTATAATAAAATGCTTATCAACAATATGAGTAATAATATTATGTCTTTTTATATTGCAAAATATTCTGCCCTAGACGGGGATGTACAAACTTAGTGTCAACAAATAGTTGTGCAAGATGTGAACTAATTAAGCGTTATGAATATTTATACCCTACCTTACTGTAGCGGTGATGTTTTTTATACTTCTGTGCTTGCAACTAGACTAAAAAGTGTTCAAATAGACTTGTCATTATTATACCCTACACCACTATAGTTGGGAGGATATTATGCGTTTGTGCTGATGTTTGTAACACCTTAAAGTATGACATTCGGCTTAGAATCATTCTGAACCTTTCTGAGTCGATTTAGCTATGTCCGTCTGTCCATCCGTCCGTCTGTCTGTCTGTCTGTCTGTCTGTCTGTCTATCGGTCTGTGTGTCCATGTAAAGCTTGTGCGAACGCTACAAAATTTGATGAAATTTGGCACATACTCTTCTTTCTAAGGACAAACACTATTGAAAATGGTTGAAATTGGTGCATTATTTCGCCCTTACAAGCGTGCCCTCTGAATAGGTCTTTTGAGCTCATAAAAATGTTAAATGTTAAAGTATGCCAATAATTGCCGATTTTTGTAATGATCGGGCATCATTTGACCCTAGCCCCCATACAAACTCCCCATCAGAAAATGACTTAATAGTCAAAATTCACTTATAAACACTAATAATACGATGAAATTCTACAACAATAACTTTGATGTCGACGTAAATTCCTTTATCGAAATTTATAAGGATAGGCCCATATTTACCCTCAACCCTTGTAGAAAATCTCTTTTTTTGGCAACAATAAAAACAAATATTCCGGAATTAAAGCAAAAATCCAAATGCTTTATTATTTAAAAAATAATCGACACTTTTTTACATACGCACTGGTGTAGGGTATCATATGGTCGGTCATACCCAACTAAACATTCATACTTGTTTTTTAAATGGAAAATTTTTCTGGTAAAATTTTATAAAACTATGAGCATATTTCTACATAAACATGTTTTATACGAACTAAAATCATCTAACAAATATTCCATATAAGATCATCTTCAGAAAATGACGTTAACTCTCATTACTGGCTACGCATAGTTTTGCCTAACTTTATGAGGATCGGTCCACAGTTGACACTACCCCCATATAAGACGCCCCTCAGAAAACAGTTTTGACACTCATTACTGAATTAACAAGTAAGAGTGCTATATTCGGCTATGCCGAATCTAATATACCCACCATCAAACCGTATGCCGTAAAAGGAATGCTCTCCTATAAACATCAGGGTGATATTACTTATCAAATTTACTGAAGAGGACCTTATATGAGAGGTAGGGTGAATTATTGACCTATTTTCATAATTTTTTAGATTTTGGTTCATATAAAATATGTTTACATCGAATATCACTTCCCGATACTTTCCGCATTGAATTCGGTAGTATGATTTAGGTTCCTATTAAAGTTTCTTATGTTTTGTCTCGTAAGAAACTTACTTATGTCAAATTTCATCTCTACACTCGTACTTTTAAGCCAGTAGTGAGCGTTAAAGTAATTTTTTGAACGGGACTTTATATGGGGGTAGGGTCAATTATGGATCAATCTACAAAAAATTTGGTAGAGAGGTTTTGGCTCGTCAGGCACTTATGTAAAATTTCATAGTTATACTCGTATTTTTAAGCCAGTAATGAGCGTTAAAGTAATTTTTTGAATTTCATCGCTATATTCTTATTTTTAAGCCAGTAATGAGCGTTATAGTAATTTTACGAAGGGGACCTTATATGGGGGGTATTGTCAATTATGAACCGATCCTGATAAAATTTGGTAGAAAGATTTTGGTTCATATGAAACTTATTTATGTAGAATTTCATAGCTATACTCGTACTTTTAAAACCGATATGACCGTTAAAGCTGTTTTTCGGGGGTCCACTTGTATGGGGGCTATACGAAAACGTGGACCGATATTACCCATTTGCAATACCAAACAAACCTTATCTATAGAAAAAAATTGTTGAATATTTCAACCCTCTAGCTCACTTCTTTCGAACTCTATCGTGCTTTCAACAGACAGACGGACGGACGTGGCCAGATCATCTTAGAATTTAATAAGGACCCAAAATATATATACTTTTTTAGATCTGTGACCAATGTTTCGATGTGTTACAAACTGAATGGCAAAATCAATATACCCCCATCTGTTTTGATGGTGGAGTACAGTGATGAAACTCGACATTAACATGTTTTATACAAATCGAAACCTCCCTAATAAGTTTTATGAGGATCGGTTCATAATTGACTTTGCACCCCATATAGGAGCCCCTTAAAAAATTACTTTAACGCTCTATACTGGCTATGCCGAATCTTATATACTCACCATCAAATCGTATGTCGTAAAAGGAATGCTCCTCTGTAAGCATCAGGGAGATCAGGCTTAAGTCAATTATGTACGTGATCTTCGAATTAACAAAATATAAATTTTTAAAAACAAAATATTTTTGTCCAATTTTTTTAAACTATTTTTAAGTCTGTAATGAGCGTTTAAATCATTTTTTGATAGGGATCTTATTTGTATAGGGGCTATGCGAAATCGTGGACCGGTATTGCCCATTTGCAATACCAAACAAGCCTTACTTATATATTTGTGGAAAATTTTAACTCTCTAGCTTTTTCCGTTCGAACCCTATCGTGCTTTCAACAGACAGACGGACATGCCTAGATCGTCTTAGAATTTAATAAGGACCCAGAATATATATACTTTTGTGGGTCTATAACTAATATTTCGATGTGTTACAAACGAAGTGACAAAATCAGTATACCCCCATCTTTTTTGATGGTGGGTATAAAAATTTATAAGGATCGATACATAATTGACCTATTTACTCTTAATACCTTTTTTTACATAAATATGTATATTTTAAAAATAGTTTAAAAAATAGTCTCCTCAAAATACTTAAATACCTAAATTAAAGTATACAGAAACACTTTATCATCAATTTAACACTTTAAATAAACAAAGATTTTATAAAAAATAAATAAGAATAAAATCCAATTAACGCCCAAATACTGACAACTTGTTTTAATATTTTTTTTTGTTAAATAATAACGTCAAATACAATAAAATTTGTTGCGGTTTACTTTTAAAGCCAAAACAACATGAAGAAATTTTTGTTTGCTAATACGTTATATTAATTTTAATTAATATTTTATTTATTTCTATAGCATGTGATTTGGTCTACTTAGAACGCGAACCGAAACAAGTAATGATTTTTAATACAAATTTGAAATAAATATACATTTTTAAATAATATTAATTTGTTTTTGGAAAGTTTTCGAATGATAAATATAGTATTATAGGTGTTAGGTCAAGCAACTCATAGTGAAGTATGCCGTTCAATAAAGATTAATTTATCAATTTAAACAAGTTATAACGCTAGAAATGGTGACGACAATAGCAAGTGTCGTAAGGATAAGTACGAGAGTAACTACTTATGTTTTAAGAAGCTTTAGACAAGATATGCTTTATTTATTTACATTTCTAATCATGTTTTAATTTTAAAAGCAATGTTCCTTAAATAAGAATAAATTTTTCTAAATGAATTCGAATCTGAAATTTCTAAAGGTCTCCGAAAATTTCAATCAGATCAAGTTTTCGAGATATGTATGTATCGGTTTTAATTATAAAATACAATAATATACAAGGCTTTCTCTCTCAAATGAATTTAATCAGGTTCGGTTCATAATTGGCCCTCATAATTTATTTTAAAACCTTTACATCAGAGAACTAATTTGAAACAGTTCATAAACCTCGTTAATAATTTATATAATTTTTTTCTTCTCTTCATTATTACAACTGTTGTTTTATTATTTATTTTAATAACAGTTTTTTTTTTTATAATTTTGCTTTAAATTTGCTGACGTATTATTTATTGTGTTATAGATAGAAAACACATTAAATTCTTTTTAAACATATATTTCCGGAAACACCGATTTCTTTTTTTAACAAAAACTAGTTCTTATGCAATTTGTTTTAAATATTATTTTTTAATTATGAATATTAATTAATCAGTCACGTAAACATTTTTTTGTAATTGAAACAGAAATTTAAATGTTAATCTTCAAATTATTGGGATCTACAATAGTGGCAGTTTGGACATGATGAACTTGGGATGTGCCGCCTAAATTTTCATATTGAGCTGAAAAAATTATATCATAAATTAAGATTTATATTAATATATCGCTGCATTTTTAACCTACCAATAATTTGTTTTTGAATTTCTTCAAAATCCTTGTCATCGGTGTATTTTAAGAATTGCACACCGGGACTGTTTTCCACGGGGGCAGCAAATGCCAAACACAAGCAGCAGATTAAAGCAATGCACAATATCTGCATTTTCAATTAAAATAAATAATTGTTTTTTTTTACATTTTCTTATTTAATATAACTTACCATAAAAGTTTTCATTTTTATATAATTTATTTGGCTGCTGCAACTTTGTTTTCTTTAAAAAATCAACTAAATTCGTTTTTATCTTTGTGGGGTTATTTTATATAATATTTTTGGTATTAAGTTTGATGAAAAAAACTTGTTTAAAATAGTTATTTAGTTTTTGTCGTCGTTTTTTAGCTATGTATATTAAATTAGACTATTAAACATAAATTTAAATATTGATTTAAAATGCTACTAGTTTATTTTTGTATTCTTTCTTTTTCTTCTTTCTAACTATTTCATATTCAAACCATATTATTAATTAGAATCGTTTTTGTAGTCTAATGTAGTAGGGATTTTGAGATAGCAAAAATAAGCTATAGCTTTTAATTTGGTTTAAAGAATTTAAGTGAAGTTTATTACTAAAAAGCTCTTTTATAACAGCTATTTAAAAGGTTGGGAAGTACATATGTATAAATTTTTTGAAAAAAAAAAAAAATTAAAAAAAACATTTTAAAAAAATTAACAAAATAAATTTTGGAAATAATGAAGAAAATGCTATCAGAACTCCTTTGGACAATTTTATATTGGACCAATAGGTGAAAAGTTACACTCATTTGAATAAAACCCTGTACGACCTAAATGTCCAACTTTGACCACCTTTAAGTCCGGCAGTTCTTTACCGAAATAGCTGAAAATTTGTGTTTGACCTACTATCTGATAGTACTTACGTAAGTGCAAATTTCGTTAAAATCGTTTGTGAAGGGGACCTTATATGGGGGGTTGGGTCAATCATTGACCGATCCTGATAAAATACGACGGACAGATTTTAATTTCTATAAAACAGGTATATGTCGAATTTTGTTGCTGGAACTGAGGCTCTTTTCATTTTTTTATACCCACCATCAAAAAAGATTGGGGGTATATTGTTTTTGTCATTCCATTTATAACGCATGAAAATATTGGTTACAGACCCACAAAAGTGTATGTATTCTGTCCTTCCGTCTGTCTGTTGAAAGCACGATAGAGTCCGAACGAGAAGAGCTAAGGAGCTGAAATTTTGCATAAATATTTTTTGTTGATGGAGTTTGGTATTGAAAATGGGTCATATCGGTCCATGTTTTCGTGCCCCCCGAAAAAACAACGTAAACAGTCATAGATTGTTTAAAAACATAATTATGTCAATAAAATTCTACATAAACAAGTTTTATATGAGTCAAAATCACTCTACCGAATTTTACGGGAATCAGTCCATAATTGACCCTACCTCCCATATAAGGTCCCTCTCAGAAAACGACTATAACGTTCATAACATGCTTCGAAATGATAGCAATGCAACGAAATTCGACATATACAAGTATTAGGGGAACATAAATATATCTGATAAAGTTTTTGGAAATCCCCCATAATTGACCCTACCGCCCATATAAGCTTCCCTTTAGAAAACGACTTAAACTCTTATAACTTGCTTGAAAATAATAGTTAAGTTACGAAATTCAACTTCAACAAGTTTTTGGGGATCTAAAATATTTCCCACTTATATTATGGAGATCGGCCCATATTTGACCCCAGCCCCCAAAATAAGGTCCCCCTCAAAAATCGACTATTACGGTCATAACTTGCTTCAAAATGATAGCTATGATATATACAAGTTTTAGGGGAACATAAAAATCTGTGCTCATTTTTTTTGGAAATCGACCCATTATTGACCCTACCCCCCATATAAGCTCCCCTTTAGTAAATGACTTTAATTCTTATAACTTGCTTCAAAATGATAATTAAGAAACGAAATTCAACGTAAACAAGTTTTTTGGGAACTAAAATATCTCCCCATATTTTATGGAGATCGCCCATATTTGACCCTATCCCCCATATAAGGTTTCCCTTAGAACATTACTTTATAGCTTATAACTAGGTTCAAATTTCCAGTAAATCAACGAAAGTCAACATAAATAAATTTTAGAGGAACTAAAATCTCTCTTCCAAATTATATGATATAAGGTCCCCTCATAAGATAAAAGTAACTCTCATAACTTGCTGCGAAATCATTGGAAATCAAAGAAAATTACTTTAAAGTTAATAATTTGCTTTAAAATTCCAGTATATAAACGAAATTAACATTAACATGTTTTATGGAAACCACGAAATTCAGCAACGAAATTCGACATAAACAACTTCTTCAACATTATTGTAAAGCAATGAAATTCGACATAATCAAGTTTTATAGTAACATTGTTCTAAATGTTTTTTAAGGATCGGTCCATCATCTGTAAACGGCCTTTATCATAGAATGACATTAACGGCCTTAACTGGCTCAAAAATACCAGTTAAAATTCGTCATGAACTAGTTTTATAGGATCTAAAATCATTCCCCTATCAACGACCTTTCTCATACAATGACATTAGCGGCCATAATTGGCTTACAAATACCAGTATATCGATAAAATTCGTAATGAACTATATTATACGATCTAAAATCTTTCTGTCTGTATCGATCCAAAATCTTTGTAAAATCTTAGGAGGATCGGTCCAAAATTGACCATAAGTAAATTTACAGGAAATCAAATTGTTAAAAAAATATGATAAAATAAGTACTATCATCACCCTGACTATATTTTTTTATTTTAGAAAAAAACCAATAAATGTTTTAATTGCGGTAGCAAAAACATTAACTGTATAACAGTATAGGTAGGTCCATTTTCACTTGAAATTTAAGACACATGATTTGATGGTGGGTATATAAGATTCGGCACAGCTGAAGATAGCACTCTTTCTTGTTATTTTTCTCGTATTCAGTATATTAATACGCATTGATTAAGAGGTATTCCTACATATAATGCAGTTCTTGGGAACACTCTAATGTATGTATATATTTTTGTAAGTCAAATCAAGTATACGAAACCAAAATTTTTTTGGTGGCGGGTAAATAAATATGGAACAGGAAAAGGCATGAAGTCCAAAAGGCCAGTGACCAGTAATCACTGCTATCGTTTCCTGTAGCTATGCTTTCGAAATATTTAATAAGGCTTCTGATCGCAGTGGGTTATTATAAGCCACATTATTAACTGGAATACATACGGACCGATTTATTTTTTCGATGAATGAAAACACTGTTGATTCACTTTTTACACAACCCTCGTTTCTATTTTGCGTAATTATTGACTTTTTCTTAAAATCAATCTATACAACATTTTCCAATTTGATTTCCAAACCGATCAAAAACTGGTAGATTGAAATAGTGAATAAATTAAAGATAACAAAAAGAATTTGAAAAAATATTTTACTTATTTAAATTACCTAACAAACTTAATACATACTAAGATAGATATTTACTACAACAAACTTTTACTAAACTAGTTTATTGAGAAAATTGATTTTTTCTGGTTTAATAACAAATATGAATTGGTTAATGGTATATGCCTTCTCGAACTGATCACGCAATGGATAAAGGTCATCGACACCAGATGGTTTTGTGGCTTCTGTAATACATAACGGAATATGTATAATGAAACAAAATTATAAATTTAACTAACCTTTTTTTAAATGTGTAGGTATTATATAGGCTTTCTTTTGTGTTTTAACTATAAAAACATCGGTGGAATTTGATTGATTTTTACTTTCAGTACTAGCAGTATCTGTTGAAGCATCACCGCTAGCTTCCAGAAAAGCTGAAGCTAATACTTTAGCAGCTTCTATGGTTTTATTGTATTGAGGTTGTAGTATAACAGCAGCTGGTTCTTCAATCATTAACATGGGTGCTGAACCTTCCAAGTCAATTTCTTCGCTGGCCATGTTTGGTAAACTAAAGCCGGGATGTTTAGTAAAATCATTTGGTTTTTCAGTTTTTGGCAATAAAAGCGGTAATTTTACTGAATGACTAAAAGGTAATTGAATATTGCTGTGTGAAACCAAACCCGATGGTGGTGGATCATAAGAAGTAATTAGCGGTGGGTAAGAAGGGTTTATTGGAAATTTTGTGGTTTTCAATTCTGGCCTCGTGTTGAAATTATCAATAGAACGTTGGGATTTGGTAGTGTAGATTTTGGTTTGTTGCAATGATTTATTAACTGCAAATAATCAAAAGATGTATCACTAATTAAGCATTTTACTAACATATTTCATATTCACCATTATTATTGTTGTTTGTTGTAAGTGGCGGCAGGTATTTATTTTTGTTTGAAGAGCGCGTATTTAAATCAATAGTTTTAGTAGCTGCTTGTACTTCCGAACAAATTTGTATTAAAAATATAACAAATATAAATAATTTTCCTTTGAATTCCTAGAAGTTTTAAAATATTTTTATTATTATATAGTTAAATTTTTAAGTTATAAAGTTCTTTACCATAATTATGGTAAATATTTTTGGTTAATTTTTATTTTGAAAAAAAAAAAAAAAAAAAAACAAACAAATTATTAGTTCACCAAGTTATTAACAACTAAACCACAATTGTACGTTAACAATACTATTTATAAATATTTGAAATAATGTGGCTTTATTTGACTTCATACGCTCAATCACCTATAGTTATTGGGGAAGACCAGTCAATTATATTGGTTTATTTGTAACTTTAATATGTTGTGAGTAAGATAAAAATACTATAATAAATATAGACTTATATTCATTACTAACTCATTGTATTTGTTGTTTTTTATCAGTAATAAACCAAAAAGCTGAAAAAGTTTGAATTTTCTTCGAACTCAGTATTATAGTTTTTCGAGAAGTGTGCAATAAATTCGTTTTAAATCCATTACCGGCTTCTTTAAGACAATGGTAACCACTGCCAATAAATGGGCTTACTTTTTAATAAAAAAAAATATTGTTTATTTTTTTCTTTTATAACCATACTTAACATCCATTAACAAGTGAATTGGCATATGACCCTGGCTTCCTCTACAACACTTAAAATGTATGTGAAAATAAAACTCTATTTTTTATATCATTCATAATTTTTAACAAATTCAACCATTTAATCAATTGTTTGGTTTCAAACTGAGTTTTTTTTAACTATATATCATTATAAGAAACAAAAATATTCATCTTCTTATTATGTCAATAAATAGTTTAACACTTGAGTTAAACCGCAACGAATATAGTTGAATCAGCTGAATAATTGTTGAACCCTCACTCATTATTGATTGTGTTATGGTTTTTTTCTTCTTTACGCTCATTTGTTTAACAAACATTATTAATTGTAACAATCATCATTTTAATGTTACTCTTTGAATTTAAGAAAAAAAAAAAAATATTTTTATATAGACATGTTAATCTTTTTTTGTTTATTATTTGTAAAAAAAAAATCATATTTAACAAACTCGTTAAATATTGGTAATTATACGTTTGAAGTTAGAATTATAAATGATCTTCACTTGCATGCAACATTTGATAGTTTGATTAAAATTAATAAGCGGCAAGTCGACAATGAAAATAAACTTCTAAATCCGTTTCCACTATCATCATATTCAGAATTAATCGGAAAATCAATAAAAACTATTTCGGTACCGGATCTTGTGTATTGGGAAATTGGAAAATCAAACAAGTAAAAGTCTTATATTAAACTCTTCAACCTATTGTGTTTTGAAATATACATATGGACAATTTCGTGTCAAGTGACCCAACTCAAAAATCGATTTAGATGAAATTTACACCATGGTTTGTAGGCCAAACACAAATTTTTCTATCGATCAAGAACTGCCGAACGTAGAGGGGGTAAAATTTGGACATTTTGGCCATACAGAGTTTTAATGTGTGTAACTTTTCACCTATTGGTCCTAGCAAAAATTATCCAAAGGAGTTCATATAGCTATTTCTTCACTGTTTAATTTAATGGTCAAAAGAAAGCTCTAAGAGTTTTGTGGGATATTTATACAAAACTAGTTTAACTCAATATTTAATATATGGGGAATTTCATGTCAAGTGACCCAACTCAAAAAATCGATTTTGACGAAATTTGCACAAAGGTTAGTACTATTGGATAGTAAGTCAGTCAGAAATTTTCGGCTCTGTCGGTCAAGAACTGCCAGTCTTAGAGGGAGTCAAAGTTGGACATTTTGGTCATGCTGGGTTTTATTCAAATGAGTGTAACTTTTCATCTATTGGCCCTAGTAAAAATTGTTCAAAGGATTTCAGATAGCTATTTCTTAATTTTTTCCAAAATTTTTTTTTTAATATTTAATTTTTTTTTGTTTAAATGGGCCTTTTTTTTAAAGAAGCTTATATAATTTCCTTGAAGGGCTTTATACTCCCATAATGGGATGCGAGTGGGATATCTATCAAAAAATTATTTTTTAGCTCAAGAATAATTTTTTTCAGTATTTGGCACTTAATTTTTCCCTATTTTTTTAAAATGGAAGTTTTTGTTGTATTTTTTTTTCACAAAATAAAGCTTAGACCATTGCTTTTAAGTGCTATGTTATTACTTAATGTGATGTGAGTGGTATATATGTATATATAAAAAATATTTTAACTCCAAAAGCAAAGTTTTTGAGTTCAAATATTATTTTTTTCACATATGCTCCTTGCATACCACAAAGCTCTTAAAGGAAATGGTCTAAGCTTTCTTTTGAGCAAAAAAAAAAAAATACAACAAAAACTTCCATTTTTAAAAAAATAGGGGAAAATGAAGTGTCGAAAAAATTTTATTCTTGAGTTAAATTTGTTTATAGATATCACACTCGCATCCTATGGGACTATAAAGCATCCTATGGGACTATAAAGCTCTTCAAGGAAATGGTTTTAAAAAATTAAAAAAAAAAAAAAATTTGGAAAAAATTAAGAAACAGCTATCTGAACTCTTTTGGACAATTTTTGCTAGGAACAATAGGTAAAAAGTTACACTCATTTGAATAAAACCCTGTATGACCAAAATGTCCAACTTTGACCCACTCCGGGCATTTCTTGACCAATAGAGATGAAAATTTTATAAACTATTTTTAGTTAATTTTAAACAAGTAATAGTGTTATATTCAATGTTGTGCCGAATTTTTTACACTCTCCATCGAATCGTGTAAATTTCGGAAAGTGGTCCTATACAATATGGATTGAAGCCACTTATGACTACTACAGTCATTTTCTGAAGGGGAAGTGTAAAACTTGTTCATGTCGAATTTCGTAGAGGTAGGCTCAATTAAGGTCCGATCGGGAGGTAGGGTCAATTAAGGTCCGATTCCTATAAAATTAAGCACGGGATAATTTCCCATACAACTTTTTTATGTAGAGTTTCGTTGCTATACTGGCATTTCGCTAGTTATGAGCACTAGAGTCATTTTCACAAGGGGATATTGCATGTAGGCAGGGTCCATTATAGTTCGATCCTTATACAATTTGACAGAGAGAGAGAAAAGTTCAGATAAAACTTGTTTAATTCGAATTTTGTTGCTTTAATGGCAGCTTGAAGCATGTTATAAGCGTTTTAGTAATTTTTTGAAGGGGACCTGACCCTACCCCCATGTAGGGTTAATTATTGGCCGATCCTTTTAAAATATGACAGAGAGATTATAGTTTCTATAAAACAGGTATATGTCGAATTTCGTTGCTGTACTGGAATTTTATAGTAAGTTTTAAGTGTTAGAGAAATTTTCTGAGTTGGGCCTCAAATAAAAGGTTAAGGTCAATTATGGCCAGATTCTTATAAAATTAAGCGGGGAGATTTTAATTACCATAATACTTTCGTTAAAATACTGGCATTTAGATAGGAGGTATGAGTGTTATGAGTAATTTTCTGAAGGTGACCTTATATGGGAGGTGGGGTCAATTATGGATCGATCCTCATAAATATTGCCATAGTGATTTAGCTTGCTGGTGTAGAATTTAATCGCTATAAAGTAATTTTCTGATGTGATCTTTATATGGTGGGTGTAGGGTCCTCTTAAAATTTTACAAAAACATTTTGGTTCCCATAAAACTTGTTTAAGACGAATTTCATTGCCATACAAGCTTTTTTAAGCCATTTATCTGCGTTATAGTTTCTGAAGGGGACCTAGGTGAAATCGTGGACCAATTTTTAATACCAAACAATCATTCTTAAAAATTTTTAATGTCGATTTTTTCCAATTTTTTTTTTACAAAAAGAATGTTGACTTTTCAACGATTTTTGGCAAAAAGTTAATTATTCAAGTCTTCGAAAGTTGATTTATAAAACCCATTTTTCCCCCCTTAATATTAATTTAAATTAATAGAATGGCAGCCCTTTTTGTTTGTGTTAACGTGTTAAAAGTAAAATATTTAGCAATCCTAAAATTATGCTTTAAAATGTTTCAAATACTACATATAATTTTTTTAAAATTTAAATTTTTTATTCATTAATATGAAAGCTATTAAAACTAAACAACAACTAAAAATTCGATCTGAACAATCGATCGATAACAAAGGAACCTTTTGTAATAATTTTTTAAACGCGCTTGTTGGCTGGCAAGTAAGCGTTAGCGGGTTCAGATTGATAACCACCATGGCTGCTTACGGGAGCTTTGGAAGCAAAGTCCAACACAGGAGCAACACCACCATTGTGGCTGCTAGATTTACCGCCCAAACCTTCATATTGACCTTGGATGGCACGTTGGGCATTTTCGGCATCAGCGGGAGTGCGGTATTTAACAAAGTGTACTTCTGGTTTGTTGGCATTGTTCTTGTTCAAGTTGTTCAATTTGTTGGCCAAGTCTCCAATATCGGCTTGTTTGTTGAGAACATAGATGGCAGTACGTTGTTCACCGGCAGATTTGGCCAATTGAAGGGCAGCATTTTCAAGACCGGAGTTTTCAGGGCCCTTGATGAAGATGACACGCAAGCCACGTTTTACATTGCCGAGTTGTTGGTTGCCACTGTTGTCATCGAAAGCACCTTCGGGGGCAGAGTAGGTGAAGAATTCCTTTTCAAATTCAGCAGGAGCAGGAGCACTATAATCACTGCCGCCAGCAGGGCCAGATTGAAATCCTTGATCACCACCAAATCCACCAGAGGGGGCGCCACCAAAACCACCAGAGGGGGCGCCACCAAAACCACCAGAGGGGGCACCACCAAAACCACCAGAGCTTACACCACCGGATTGTCTTTCGTAATCATAGCCCAAACTGGCAGCATAAGCAGTAGCCAAGCAGCAAAGAACCTACAAAAGGAAAATAAATTTCAATTAGAAATAAATTCTTATCAAAGGTAATGTAATTGAGGGAAAAAAAAAAGAAAAGTTTCTTTACTTGATCACAGAAAGGATCTAAATACTTACAATAAAGGCACGCATTGTATTTTATGATTATTGTATAATGTTGTATGTTTAACAAATGAATGTTTTCTGTCTTTAACTAGCAACAAGTGCCAATATTTATATGATGATAAAAGTTCAAAATTATTAATATTCGTAAAAGGTATTTGTGCTAGAAATTAATTATAAAAAAAACTGAAATAATTTTAAATTTATCCTTGATCGTATCAGATCAAAGAAGTGGATTAGTGTTGCTGTTTTTGAAGAGAAATACAAAACAGAAGATGACAATTTGCATAAATACAATATTAAATATTTTAATGTGTATCACATTGTGTTTTTGGCCAAGTTTGCTGTATTTGTCTCAATTTCAGTTGTCAGCACACTGAAAGAGCAATAATTTGTTTGCTTCAAATAAAAATAACAACATCATTTTTTAACTACTACAAAGTTTCTTTGTTGTATATGGTCTTTAACCTCTACCCTCAAGTTATTAGTTATTCTCTTTTTTTATTTAAATAAATTTATACACTTTGTTTAAGTTTTTAATTCAACTTGTTTTATAGTATATAATATTGAGAGGCGCTCGCTCAAGTATTAGTCTAGATGATCTAGTTTGTATTAGTGATATATTCTAATTCGATGCAAATTAATCAATTAAGTTAAATATTATAATTTTCAAACTAAGTTGTTTAAGTGATAATTAAATAATCTTAACTGTTTTTGCTAATTAGCTTAATGATTTTATCAAAAGTGACCAAATGAAGCTGTCTAAATAGTGTGGGTGTCAGTACGAGCTTATTTGGAAATGGCAGCATTGACAGCAAGCACAAGAACATTGTACATATTTTTAAATTTTAAATTCTAAATAGATATAATAGTATATTTGAAGTAGTTATGAGGTCAGGTTGTATAGGGGCTATGTCAAATAATGGACCGATTTCAACCATTTGTGTCAAAAACACGTATAATCCAAATTTGATTAAAATATATTGTGGCCTGTAGCTTGCGCACAATGTTTACATGAACAGCCAGCCGGACAGACAGACGGACGGACGGACATGTCTTAATCGACTCGGAAAGTGAGAATATTTTTATGGGTTACAAACATCAGCACACACGTATAATAAATACTCTCCCCACTATAGTTGTGAAGGGTATAAATATTGTATGAGAAAAATATTTATGTCACCTAAGATATGTCACGTACGATATCAAATTTTCATTTAAAATTTATCAAAATTTTTTATTTAAAAATTACAGATTAGATAGGAAAATATGTCACTTAGTGTAAAAAATTAAAACACTTCAAAAAAACATTGTCATATGACACCTCATTTTAAGTCCATATTTTGGAAAAATGCAAATTTTCCACATATAGTACTCTCTGTATGAATATATCGTTATTATCTTGATTTTGAAATTATTTTTTAATTTCTTAATTTAAATAATTTGGTGCTTGAACATATTTTTTATGTCAACACCATTGTGGTCTCAATATTTAGGTCGTTTCCTTTATCTGAACATAATTACTGTCATTATATGGTTTTTAGTATATAATTTGACACTTATTTAATGACAAACTATAAAATTTCTTAATTTTTATTTGCATTTTTATTTAAAAATATTTATATACACTATAAAATATATTAAAATAAAAAAAAAATAACAAAACTAAAATGTCACAGTTATTTAACGACTCCTATTAATGATTTTATGATCGAAAATTCCTCCAAATTAAATTTATAGTTTTTATGTTCAAAATAACCACCATGATATTTTGCACTAATTTTATAAATAAAATACTCTGCAGACATGGGAATTGCTAATTCTTGAATAAATATTTAACGAACTAATCTTTAATGAATCTTAAACAAAACTTCTGGTTTTTCAGAACAAATTTTATGACTAAAATGGAATATTTAATTGTATAGTTTAAATGAAAATATTTTAAGTCGTTTAATTAATAAAATAAACTTATACATACATATGTACAAAGTTAGAGACATAAATGTGAGTTTCGTTTATACGTTTGTATTTGTTATGGAGCCATAGTGTCAAATAATTATTGCCTTTGTGTGTGTCCCATTATAATCGAAATTTTTATGATTGTGTCGGTTTCTTTTATGTTTGTTAATATTTTATAGATTTTTATTTTTTTATAAATTAGCCGTATTTTATGAGCTTTTAATAAAAACTGAGCTAAAAAGTCTTATAACAGTGGCTTTGATTTTTAATTCTCTTTTTTTTTTAAATTAAATTATAAAATTGAAATTTTATTGATGGTAATGGGTGATTACCGGAAATTTAAAGTGACATTAATGCATATCAATCAGGATTAAATTACTTTGTTTAAAGTTCTACTAATTTACAGTTGAATTTATATACACATACATATGTATGTGATGTCTATATTTAAATTATTTTAGTGTACTATTTTATAATAAATAAAAAAAAAATATTTGAAATTATTAAAAATATATTTTTAATTAAATTCATAGCAACATTTTTATAAATATTCTTTAATTTCTGTAACATTACACAATATCTTGTAGAAATTGAACGATATTTGCTTTTTGCACACAATAACTAACGTGTGAGTATACTTGTTGTACTTGATGTATATTACTCATTCGCCAACATGGTAAATGCATGCAAAAATAATTATCTATTTAAAATCGTATCCAAAAACTTGTTTCTTTATTTTGAAATTATTTCAATACTAGTTTGCATGAAATGAAAGTATTAGTTTGAAAAACATATTAGGTTTTAGTCTATTGCAAACCTGAAAATAGTATTCATTTATGAAATATAATATTCTCGTATCGATGATTTATGTCAAGTTCAATTTATTTTCGGAATTAAGGGATTTTCAATAATTCACCAGAAAGTGAATAGCTATTGAACAACTTACTGCCTGTTTCACAATATAGAAACAATAATTATATGTGTAAGAATGAAAATGTATTTTCGCATTTATAGAAACCGGCATTTACTCTGTTTGAAAGGTCCCGAGCCATTTCTGTAATAAACTACATCTTATTATTATTTACTGAAGTTGAAGATTACACGAAAAAATCCTCTATCAATATAAAAGTATAAAATTAAATTCTTATACGAATAAATTTAGTTATTAAAACTTTGAAATTGTTTAGGGAAAACAACTTCGGTTTCCGGTCGCAGATGAAAGTGATTCTGAGTCATTTGATATATATATGGAGATGTTACACTAACTATCACAAACATTCAGTATGATTATTTGATATCTGCTGTCTCTCACCCATCAGAATCCCAAATTCCAAATCCACTAATCAAAACTAAATACAAAATTTAGATTACTTTGATTATTTTTAAATACAATTTTATTTTATTAGAATTTTTTAATGTTTATATTTCAATGTTTAAAATTATAGAAAATTCAAAAATTACCATTTGATGAACGAAAAAGGACGTGTTTCTTGTGTTTCGGTTTCGTACTAAAGAAAATTAAAGGTTCCATTTGAAGACAGATTCTTTTTCAAAAGTTCTCTATAAAAGAATATCATTCCATGAGAACTATGTATGTTGAATAATCATGTGTTTTGACTTTATATTAAAGAACATAGAAAAAGTATAGTATGGCCGACTATATGATACACTACACCAGTTATGAGTATATCTAAAATGTATATTATTTTTAATAATTAAGCATTTATGTTTAAGTTTTCCAAATTTCGATATATTTTTGATGAAAAAATTATTTTCTGATGGGGGTATATATTGCAGCTGGGTTCAATTATGAAACGATCCTAAAAAATTTGGTTGAAATACACGCGTTTAAGAACGTTCTTTTTTTTTTTTTTATTTATTTAATTTGTTATTATACAATTATAACTGAGCCCAAAGGGCCATATATAGTTAACAAATTTACTACATATAATGAAAAACCACTTAACAGCAAGCATTCAAGCATTTTCAAAAGGTAATTTTGCAAGGGGGCTAGGTTTAAATAGGGGCCGCTCATTACGAAATTTTGCGATAACATTTATGCTTGTATAAAACGTAGTTGTGCCTATTTTTGTAAGGATATTAGTATATTTTGCATAATTATGAGCTCCAAATCACAATTTAGGGGGTCCGGTTAAATGGGGGCTAGGTGTAACAATGAACCGATATCAACCGAAATCAATAGCTTTTGTCCTTGGATAAAAAGTAATGTGTGTACCAAATTTCATTCAGTTATCTTCAAAATTGCGACCTGTAGTTTGATTACAAGGTTTACATGTACAGACGGACGGGCATGGCTTAATCGACTCATAAAATGATTCTGTGCCGATTTGATGTGAGTGATTCTTCTAAAAGACATACATATTTTTTTTTTTACAAATTATTTACATTAATTTTTATTTTAATGATTTCTAAAAATGATAACAAAGAAAAACTAACAAACTTAAACTAAATAACAAATCAACAACTAATAACAATCAGTTTAGAAACGTCTGCCAGGGGGCAAATACGCCGATTGTGGAGGAATGTAAGCGTTGCTAGGACCAGCAGCATTACCACTGCTAGATTGACCAGCTGGAGCCTTTGAGGCGAAATCCAAAACGGGAGCAGCACCACCATTAGAGTTGGAGCTAGGGCCAGGTAATGAATCGTATTGGGATTGGATGGTGCGTTGGGCATTTTCAGCATCAGCAGGGGTGCGGTATTTGACAAAGTGAACTTCGGGTTTGTTTTTGTTGTTCTTGTTCAAGGCGTTCAACTTGTTGGCCAAATCACCGATATCGGCTTGTTTGTTGAGGACATAGATGGCAGTACGTTCATCGGCAGCAGATTTGGCCAATTGGAGGGCGGCATTTTCAAGACCAGTGTTTTCGGGTCCCTTAATGAAGACAACACGTAAATTCTTTTTTAAAGCACCAGCGATTTTATCAGCAGCATTGCCATCATCGAATTCACCTTCGGGAGCAGAGAAAGTAAAGAATTCCTTATCGAATTCGTTGTTACCAACTGGGCCGGAGTAGTCATCATGACCAGCACCACCGCCAATACCGCCATTGCCAGCGCTACCTACACCTCCGTTATAATCGCCAGCACCTACACCACCACCAACATTACCGCTTTGGGGTGAGTAATCGTATTGGGCAGCAGCTACTGCAACTAAACATAAAACCTAAATAGATGAAAACAAATAAATTTAATTAATCCTCTTAAATTCCTTTCGATGCTCGTTGTGGTTGTGTATTTATATATTTTTTATTTTATTTGATGAAAACTTACCACAAAAGTACGCATTTTCACGTGTGTTTAGCAGGTTAAT